GTTTCCTGTATCGACAAAACGGTTATCGTTTCTCTTGATGGCCAACAGTGACAGTGAAATGTCGCGCTTTCATCTATTCGAAAAATGTAAACTGAGTGTATTCGTCGCAATTGCAGGTCAGGTCAGGTCAAGCCGGACAAAATTCAGTCTATCGATCAATTTAACACCATCCAATACTTTATACACTAGGCTTTCATCAGACACCATATAGCATAGTTCCAAATTGCATTTACAGTTTCATTTTCACCAAATAATCTACAGATTTAAGATTTAATATTACTCAACCTATTAATCTGACCTGATTATATATTCAGTTCCCAACAATGTTGTTTGATTTATTTTCGTCTAATTGAGTATTGTTTACGTTTGCAGTCTTCTTCGGTTCCGAACTTCAGGAAAGTCGTCTCGCAAATGGTAGACAGTGAGAAAACAATGGATTTGTGCCAATTTATTCAAATCCACAGTTTTCATCATAACTTGATATCACCTATAGTATGAAGATTTTGTGTTGCCCTTCCTAGTTTTCAATAGTACTCTGATTTACATACAATCTAAGAGCTATCACATCCCATTCATTAACAACAATAGCATCTATGACCTCATTGGTTCAAATGTACATCGGCGCATTTGCTGAATATTATACTAATAGCTTTTGATGAACGAAATAGTGTCCGGCTGTGTCAATTTCATGATATAAAAGACGACGAACCTCATGAAAATCCGAGTTCGAAAAATTAATTTTATTTCAGTCATCTAAACGTCCTTAGACCACTGCAAAAAGCCACATACTAGCGCAAATAGTAAGACTAGTAATTAATGATAATTTCATAAATTCTGCGTGATTTATTCGCATGCAAGTGTGTCGTGTTGGTCTCGAATTATGACAGTGTAATCATTAATGATATCAAATATCTCACACAGTTCACATGCTCAACTCTTTATGTAATTTATAAACATAATTTCGGTTATCAGAAACAAACTAAGACGGTACCTGTAACTTTGAATCATTAATAGTTCAATAGCATTTATACATATCATTATAGTAACTAAAACTAAATTCAGTTCACGAAACATTTAAGTAAATAACCGCTTTGTAACCAAATCGCAGACATAGTCTCTCATCAACCTAGCAATAAAGAGTTTCATAAGTCGTTGCGTTTTGATAGTATATCCATAAAGCAATATGTTGAGATGAACTGATATGGAGTACAGCAAACATATTTAATATGATTACCATACTACTTAAACTTTGAGAGTAGCTAAAACCATTAGCTGAAATTGCATGACATATTTTGAAGGAACCATTTGAACACAGAATCTGAGTAATTATGAGTCCCCACATTCAGTAAAATATGATGTCTCAACAAAAAAACCTCATCGTCAATGGCAGGAAGCTTTGACATTCTGTGTACCTGAAACATCGTAATTCTACTGTATACAGACACAGTAACCAATTATGACATGCATTTACTCTGATTAGTCAGTCAATCAAGAACGTAAAACACGATGCAATCAGAAGAGATAATAAATCTTCAGATTTTAACTGAGCAGTCATAATGTATTGTTTACCCAGGCTAATTTTACACTCAAGCGGTCCACAGTTTAATTAACTAATAACATTTGAGCTTACAAGAGAAATTATGTCGCTATTTCTTCCTGTATTTATATACGCACATGACTAACTCGAACCTTTAAAAAGAGTAGTGCATATAAAAAAGATTAACACGAATTACAGGGAAAAGTAGAACTAGCAAAACAACAAACAAGTTCCCAATAATAATTTTTTTAAGTGGATACCACTCTGGCACATCAGAAGCAAAACTTGTCATTGACTTGTTAAAGAGTAAAACTGTACAATACTTATAATAAATTCAAATTACTGTGATAACGGTTCGTCAAATGGATATCACGGTGTTTTTGATAAGTACTGCACAAAAAATGAAAACTTTATCACTAAGACGATTTACTATGTGTTGTGTATTCTAGTGTACACAATGACGTATACATGTATTAGTCCTTGTAAACGCACTAATTATATATGTGGAGAAACGAAAAACGACTTTCCGCAGGTTCCTTTTTTAATCAAAATAAGAAGTCGTAAAGCAGAAAAATTATTTGCATACAATGCAATTGTGAACTCGAGAATTATTCAAAGGAAATAGAGAATACATTGTTAACAATATAATCAATCTCACACAAATAGATAAGCATAATTCCGATAACGATAAAAGTAGCTAGGGTACTTGGACAACGAGAACGAACAACCAACTTACTCTACATACTAGAATCTAAATAAGATTATTAAAAAAGAACGATCGACTAAAAATCAACTGAGCTATTTATTCATTATTATACAAGTACACAGTTGACGCGTAGTATTGAAAAAAAAACATTCCAACTAATTCCGATCATTTAGGCTTTTTTTTGTTTGGTAATTCTTCAAGACGCGATGACATATAACATACTTACTGCCTATTTACAACAAGGCTGAAAAAACTTGCGATCAACAAAAAAGGACACAGAGTGATAGAGTAAAAGTTCAATTGAATATACTAATTATACTCATTTTTACAAATAAGTATATAGAGATAAATCGAAACACAAATGATCCTAACGAAACATAACGAAAGAAAATAATCGAGCACCAAAAAAAAAAACAAGACAATAGTAGAGAAATTTTATTTACAAAATTACATACAAATTAGTAACTAAAAAAAGGAAAAACAAGACACTTGAAATTAATCAGTTTTTGTCTTTGGGAAAGGAAACAAAAAAAAAGAACAAAGCATGAACCATAATTTTCTGGTTTTTGAATTGAACAAGAAATGCACTTAGAAAATATAAACAATACATATGTATATAATAATTGCAATAAAATAAATAAATATACACTGTACACTTTGATTTACCAGGTTTAAAAATAAAAGAAGCATAAATGAATTTTTTTTAAAATAAAAAAAGGAGAAAAAAATTATAAAACATTGTTGTATCCACCTAAGTTACTAATCGTTATATATACGTTGTTATATTTACGATGAGTAAGTGAAAAATGGAACAGATAAATTTGGTTAAAATTAAGTAAACAAACGAAAAGAAGCGATTTCTTTTAATAAAAAAAAGGTTGCAAAATCTAATCAATTATGATAAACAAATTAAAAGGTAATTATATTTAAATGTATATGTATATAACTGCTTGATAATTTCAACAGATTCGATCAACCTTTGGACAAAAAGACTATGACAATTTTAAAAGATGGAAGAAGTTTAAAAATTATGTACAAAAGATACAGACTACAAATTTCCTGAGTACGTTGACTTTTGTTTTCTAAGGAATATTAGATGAATACCTGCCAAATATGTATTAAGAAAAAGTAAAAAAAAGAAGCGGAGTTAAAGAAAAACGATCAACTATGCCAAAACGATATATATATATATATATTGATGAGGTTTTTACTTGCTGAGTCGGATGGTTTGGTCGTAGAGCTTTCATCGTTCTTCTAGACGATGTCATTAGTACAAATTTCAGATATATATATATATATATATATATATATATATATATATATATATATGACAAGTTAAGGAAATCAGTTCTTAATTATTCTGAGGTAGAAAGTTGTGAACACATGATTTGATATAATTTAGAAAATTTATTTCGAAAGTATTCAGCAACGACTTCATATCAGATTTAACTATACATTTTAGTGATCAGATATAGGGAACACCAAGCAGTTTTAGATAATACGTTGAAATGCAATAGTTTGATAGCAATTAATTCATATTCATCGTTCTATGTTAACAGTAGATAACCAAATCACGTTTCAATTTATTGACTATGTGAGTTATAATTTCGCAATGAAAAGAAGTAGAAAACTTTGTATCATCTGTAAATGCGTAAGTGTACACTGCTGAAAAGTTCTTAACTAAAATCCTCATAAATAGATCTTCATTTGCTGCTGATTTTTAAACAGTTTTCAAATTGACAGCAATCCACGATGAATCATGAGGTCATAGTTGGAGTGTTCAACATTCAGCTACTAAATCACAGGTTCGATACCCCGTTTCAACGTTTTCGGTATGAACAATTAACATCTATAATCAACTCTGATACTTGGAGAGTAGCTCGAAGTATGTACCCGGTAAATAAGTTATAAAAAATAATAGTCCACAATGGAACTAATTGACTAGGTTTGAAAGTTATGTTTAATCCAGTCCATTAGAGGAGTATAGAAATATTTTTAGGTTATAATGTTTTCAAACTTTCACAATGAACAACACATTTGATTAGTAAATATCACAAATTACAGGTGTTAACACAAAGTAAGTGATTTGATATAATCTAAAGGATCCATTCTAAGAAGATGTAAATTTACTTCAGCCTATAATTAAAAATAAGGAAAAAGAACACTAACTTATTTACAATAACTCTATTTATTGAAATTTTATGAAGTTCTGCTTCAGGCTAATTATTTTCATGAAACGGCTAAATTAAATATCACAGTGATACACGATGTATAATCCAGAATCCGTATGTTTGTAAATAGAATTGTCCATGAAATCTATCCTAAGTGATTGACCAATTTACTAGAAACAGATTTGTGTACTTCACTTTCAGTCGTACTCTAAGTGTAAGAGCTAGCAATATTAACCGCTTGGATAAACCGAGATAGGAGAAGAGTTCGAACCTAAGATTTAATAGCTGAGACAACACTCTAAGTATCCCTCGACATACAAACAACAAATTGTTCAACATTTCAAAAATTTGTGTGTATTAACTACCTAAAATTATTCATGAATAATCATATTCAGAGGCAAACGAACATTAAATTGGAAGGAGAAAAACGACCTGTCCATCTACCTGAAAATAATTGAATTAGAAATAAAACGTAAAAAGCATTTCTTTCGAGATTGAAACTTGATTGAAATTAGTAAACCTGAGGAGAATAATAAAGAAGAACGACACAAAACTGTGATGATAACAATTATTGATATGATTTCTATTACGATTTGGATAAAGAAACATTGAAGTTCTGTTGTGAATTACTGGCACAAGGAATTGAACAATGATTACGATGACAATAATGATTGATTGATTGACTCAAGCCGAAATATTTCACGTTTTTCTCTGAACTAGAAAATTGTTTTAAAGAAAGAAAATTTGTTTTAAGATTCAAAAGTAAACAGATGGCATATTCAATAATGCTGAAATATCAACGTTGAAGAAAAAAGCTACAAAATTAAAACCTTTAAAAAATCGTTTCTTAGGCGTTTAAAATCTCGTTGAGGAAAACTAGGACTCATTGTATGGAACATAATTTAGAGATATGAAGATGATATTCGTATCTCCGCCTGTAGATCTTCTAGAGTTACTGCCGAACCCAAGCCCGGGTAAAGGACGAGGGTTGGGCAAGGGGTCGGCAACCCCATCACGTACAAAAAAGTTCGAAATGGTCATTAGTGTTTTACAGACTTTACAAATCGTAGTTATTTATCAGCAACATGTTATGTTTTGCAAACATGTTTAAGCTATAAGCTTACATATTTTGGTTTAAAAGAACGACCTTCCATTAAAAAATTATACGTAAACGGAATAACATTATAATTTTTACAAAATCATTTAAACTGTGCCCTTCAAGCTCAAAGAAGAAATATGCCTCATGGTGAGATACAAAATTCTTCATAAGTCACGAGGTCAATGCCCCTTCTAACAACCAGGGCAACAATTTTTATGGGAACATGGAACGCCTGAACAATGCGGGACACCGGAAGGATCAGTCAAATAGCTACAGAAATGAGGAGATACAACTTGACGGTTCTGGGAAATATTGAAACCCAATGGATACAAGTTGGAAGGGAAAGGTGATATACGGGAGAGATACTGCTTTACTCCGGTCATGAAGAGGGCAATGCTCCACACAATCAGGCAGTTGCTCTAATGCTGTCCGAAGAAGCACGAAATGCAGTCACAGGATCCAGAATCATCAAAGCATCCTTCAAAACAAAGGAGGGAATCCCGATGAATGTTATGAACCCACTAATGATAGCAATATAGACAATAAAAGTCAGTTCTGCTCGAGGATACAATCAATCATAGAGAAGTGCCCAAAAAAGGATCTCACCATCCTGATGGGAGACCTGAACGCCAAAGTCGGAATGGACAAAACCAGGTATGAAGATATCATGGGACGACACGGACTGGGGACTGAGAGGAACGAATGAGAACGGTGACAGATTTACAAGTTTATGTGCAATCAACAAATTGGTCATTGGTGGCACAATATTCCTACACAGACTCACACGGAGTATCAGGTCGATCATATTTGCACCACCTAAAAATTCAGAAACTCAATGGAAGATTTGAGAACCAGGAGAGGAGCTGACATAATTTCAGACCATCACCTGGTTATGACCAAGATGAAACTGAAGCTAAAGAAACACTGAATAACTGCAGGAACAGCATTAAAAAGGTTCGATACAGCCTTCCTTCGAGATACTATCAAATTCAACGAATTCAAGATAAATCTCAACAACAGATTCCAAGCCTTGCAGGATCTACTGAAGGAAGAGAAAACTACTGGTTAGTACAAGTGGAAAAGAATCAAAGAAACACCATCAGGAGGTGCTGGGCCTCAAGAAGTATCACCGTAAGCAATGAATCTCTATTAAAACCCTGGAGAAGATTTAAGAAGGGAAGAACAAGAAGACAGCAACTAAAAACAGCCTAACAAGAACAGAGAAGGCCAAAACGCAGGCCAAATACAGCGAAGCAAACAAGCTGACAAGCAGAAATACGTGGAAGAACTAGCAACGACAGTGGAAAAAGCTGCAACAGAAGGAAATATGAAGCGGATATATGACACAACAGAGAAACTAACAGGGAAATATATTAAACCCGAGAGACCGGTCAAGGATAGAGAAGGCAAGACAATCACCGGGATTCAAGAACAGAGGAACAGATGGGCAGAATACTTTGAGAAACTCTTGAATAGGATAACTCCATTGAATCAACCGGATATTGACGCAGCACACACAGACCTTTCCCACAGATGTCTCTCCATCAACGATTGAAGAAATCAATTGTGGACAAATCAGGCTGTTTTCACTCCTACTTTTTGATTCTTATTGCGTTTCACAGTCATATTTCTTGTCATGTGAATAAAGCTGTTCTATAGTAGCTTTGAAATGTTAAATATCAAGCCTATCCCCGAGTCACTGATCTCTGGGTCTTCAATCGCACAGGAGATTATCATTGAATTGTTGTTTATTAACTAGTTGGTCTACCTAGTTCGCTTAAAACTCAGTCTGTATTCACGGAATCAAATTACCACAAGCTATCGCAAAAAAGTACAACCAAAAGCTAGAAAGCACTAGACGCCTATTTAATTTTGGTCTGAGTATTCCTTAGTAGTGCATACCCACGACAGATTTAAAGATTGGACCAATAATATTCAAGTACTTAAGTGGACATGCTACTTTTCAACCACTTAGTTATAATCAAATGATCTGCATTTCCAAATTTAATTAGCTGAGGGTATAGAGCGAATTATGCAACTAAGTTTCTGCCGACAATAGAACAATAGCAAAAAACAGAAGAAATGAGAACTGGCAAACTTAACACTGATCACTTACTTGTTATTATAGCTAGTAATCATTGCAGGGTGAATAAATGATGATGAAAGTGATTGTTGCGGTTGATTGAAACTACATGAATTTGAACGAGGATGACGACGTCTAGTGTGAAGAACTACATTAGGACATGGGTGATTATCGTACATGTTTGTTATATAATTATTACTATAATTATGATTATTACTACTATTATTATCATCATGCACTTCGTTCACATTGACAATATCCGGAGATGGTGGAGTGAGTAGACCGGGATCATAATTTGGTATAGTTGATGTAAACATAATATTCGATGGATATTGTTGATGATGATAATTTTCACTCATCATCATATGGTCCACATTGACAAATATATTCGATGAACAAGAATTATCACATGGATTACAATGATTCTGACAATGATAACAATGAGTTGGATTAGAATGTGTATCAATTTGTTGATGCATTGATTGGTATTTTTTATTATTGTTTGTACATAAATTAAATTCTCTATTAGGAACTACAATAATTGGGTTTGTTCCATCAGCATTACTATTTACATGAACATTATTATTAATTGCATCAATATGATGTGAAGAATGAGATACAATGGGATTCTGATGTGAATACGAACAGAATTCAGTAGAATAAGGATATTCAGACAGATTGGTTATTGGATTTTTGTCACAAGGTAAAACAGATTCATCTGTAGTTAAATAAATAATACCAGAAAAAAAATAAACGAAAGTTTGAATTTCCCAGAAAATAATATCGGAAAACATGAATGAACATTATGTTAATCGACTATTAAATGGTTATTGAATGAAAGAATAAATAAATGTACAAAAAATTTATCTAAATAGTAATAATAGTGAAGTTTACATTAAACTAATTTATACTACACAAAACATTAAATTGTTTTATACTTTTCTTGAAAGAATATAAACAAGACGTTTGATTTTAGTGAATAAAGTATTTTAACTCTTCAGATTATATACATATGTAATGATTTGTGTCGCACTTCACTCAGTCATTAACTTAACTTCACTAAAGATATATAAACTTAAGTGATTTCTGAAGCTGATAAAACCTAGACTAGTTCTGTGATTCTTCATTAATTGGATTAAATAAGAAACTAACAATTAGAGACTTCAATTTATATGGCTCAGAATCGTTCACAATTGTGTATTTGATTTTATTCTTTGTGTTCTTTTCGAACCTGAATCCCGAAATCCACTCATACTTTTTCTTCTCTTTCTATACCTAAATCGTTGCAACTTCTACTCCTCTGGGATTTGCTTTGATAATTTTATCGCGTTGTCCTTATGTGGTAAGACAATTTAAACCTATGCAAATGTGTTATGTTCTGCGTTGCATGTGATTAACTTGATCGGATCAAAATGATTCTTTTTGTTATCTTACATATTGTACTTATTGATACTCATATATTATATTAATTTCTCATGTTAAACAATATTTGTAACAATCTGCTGATAAAATTATGAAGAGAAAGTTTATGAATAAGATAACAGATATACAACGGGGGGTATTAGAAATCCTAATAAGTCATGCGTAATATTAGAAAATACTGTCGACAAATACTTCGTGTAAGGTTAACCACTAACGGATGATTTTATTCGAAAAATAAACGACTACACAGAAAAATTATTAGACCATTTTAATATGACTCTATCATTATAATATGAAGATGTAAATTTAGTAGTTTCTGTTCAGTAGACGGCTTCGCGTGGTGAAAGCACTCAAAACTCCAATAACTAAGTTGTTAACGAGATTTAAAAAATATGACATCTGTTATGGTTGAAGCAGTTGAATAGTATTGTCATTATTAGTCCTCATTAAGTGGTAACTTGTTCTACACTTACGGACACTTATTCTCACTGACACAAATCGTAATAATTAGACAGAATGTAACAAATGATTCATTTTCATCTTACTACTTATGCACATCATTAGTTGTAAACTTTTAACCATGTACCTTTTTCTGTGTAGGATTGTATATACGTACGTCTATTGAACAATAACCTTATTCAGTCATTTATTCTAAGCCATATCAACTCACTCAAAGACTTGGGATGTATTTGGCTCAGTTCGATATCAATATTGCTCACTTCTGGTTTTTCCGCTGATATATTTGAATTAAATACAAACAACCCAACACAATTTATTATCGGACTGTTTTCTATCGCATTTTCGAAGTAAATCTCATGATGTGATTCGAATACAAAACCATGCATTGGATTTAATGAATTCCATTAAACTTGACAAGCCAAATGATTCGATTATTAAATGTTCAAGAGTTATATAATCAAACTGTCTATAAGTACTAAAATACAATTATTGAGTGAGCAGAACCATAATCACTCACTCAAACAGTACCGGTTATTATTCACAACCTCATACATAAACATAGATGTTGACGAATATTAACAAATAGAACAGTAACAGGAAAATTTAAACAATATGCAACATTACACAGAATATAAGAAAAAATAAAACTACAAGGGAATACTTTGACGTGAATGCGAGAGAAAAAAGAGAGGGAGAGGAAAGGTATATAATTAACAGTAAGTATTCACCTAAATTACAAAAACAACAGGGAAAAATTAAAACAAGTATCCATTCAATGTTACATTACATGAAAAACGTAGAGTAAGAAAAGAGGAGTACAAGATATGAAAATAAAATTCAAAAACTTGTGACAGGATTCACAATGAAAATTGAAACAAAACACACACACACACACAGAAGTACATTTATTAAAGTACAAATACAAAAGAAAGAAAAGTAGTTACACAAGACAATCTCATATATTAAGTCAGGGTAGTCTATGAAGAATAAAAAGAGGGAAAAGGTCATCAACTCTTACGTAATCACAAACTACTAATAATTCTTATTAGTTCCAATATATAATGTTGCATACTTAAAACACAATAGTATAAGGCCTAAGATATCTGGAATTGTGAATACAAAATATTTCTCTATATAAAAGACAATTGATATTGTACATTGAAGAAAGTACATAGACAGATTGAAATAATAAAAGGTTGTAAAATGAACATGAATAAAAAAAAAAGAAAAAATATACTATCACATTCTAGAGAAAATGCCGTCACAACAGATGAAGAAGATGATGAAAAATTGAATGAAAAGCAAGAGAGAGAGAGAGAGAGAAAGAGAACAATAAGAACATACTAACAACCATGAAAAAATTATTCTAGTGTGATAAGAATGAATAGAAAACAGTTGTTAGCGTCAACTTCAATTAGTTGTAATTCAAACTCAAAATTTAAAAAGTTAAAAAATGAAACAACCTAATTCTACAGAATTACAAGAAATTCTCCTTCTACAAATCAATGAATATTTTCAACAATAACTGACAATCATCTAGTTTTGTGTATGATATAGGAAAAAAATATGTAAGAATGTTTGACAGAATAACTGCAGTAAACTATAAACATTGGCAGTTTAGTAGAATAAGGTATCAAAAAAATGTTAATAAACTGAGTACTGATCATTTTGCTTGAGCGACGGAAACAATGGTAAAAGACTTAGATACTGCTTTAACAACTATGAATAAGACCTAGATTATTTGCTTTTGATAATCATAAAAATAATCAATGATATCCAGATGGGAATAAGAAACAAACGTTGATGTCACTTGATCATTTCGAACACAAAAGTTGAACAAATAATGATAAAACTATTCTTTCATTTAATTTTATAACACATCTGTAAAGCGACTAGATGGGTAAGGTTAAACCTCAAGTAATGAATAAAAAGTATTAATTATAAAGTGTATGGTGGTTAAAAGAAACTAGACTATTACACAGCATAATTCAATAGATCCACAACCAACTTGTACACTAGGATTGTAAATAAAGAAATGTATCCAAGATTTTGTGTAGCAGAATGTAAAAGTAGACAATAATGAAAAATGCAATTTAGATTTCTAATGAAGATGCTATTCTATTTACTCAAATAAACAAGAATTGTACAAAAATATCACTAAAATGGATATTCTAAAACACCATGAACTTACTGCATCTCTATGAACTAAAAATAGTATTTAACATAAACAACCTCAAATAATATGCTCGAAATCTAATCAAGTATGCTACATACTATTTTCTACCGAGCAAAAACAGTAAGATTTGAGAAAACAGAAATATTCAAGTGAAATCTTATTCAAGAATAAATGTGCAAACAGATAGATAAATAATGAATAATTAAACGACGAAAAAAATAGTAATAAACAATCATTCTTACCATCAGTACCGTCATGCACTGAACCGCCACTTGGTGGTTCACGTTTTAAACCATTTAATATTGCAGATTGTAGTAAATAATTTGACATTTCATGATTGGTTAAGTTATCTATACGATTTACTGTACCGACAGACTTATTGGAAGATACTCCAACAGTAACAGAAGTTCTTGTTGACGATGATGTTGTTAATAATAAATGAGACTTTGGAAATGAATTATTCACAACAACATTATGACCTTTACAATTCATCATTGTATGAAACACAGGAGAAGATGAAAGAGATGTTACTGCTGATGGTAGGTTATTCGGATAGAAATTAGATGAAGTTACGAAAACAGATTTAGACATATCTATACATTGACGAGGATTATAAATACTATCACTGTCTAACATCAAACTTTTTAACTCGAAATTTTCATTCTTAGTCAAATATTTAAATGATGATGTTGGTAAATGTGAAGGTGGCGGAGGTGCAGGACTCATAGGTGGTGGTCGAGAACGTTGATGTGGTAAATTTGTTCTGTCATTTACATCAGCCATTTGATTCCCACAAGAAGTAATAGATGAAGTCATCAAGTTAGCAGCATTCAAATTATCTAGTAAAAACCCACCAGTTCCACTGAAATCTGTCTTCTTTAAACTTTTGTCAACTGTATCTATGGAGAAGCAAAACAATATGCAAGTATACAATAGTGAAAAAGGAGGTTTTAAGTGATTTGTTTTTATTTTTAAAGAAAACCAACGCATACACCAATTAATCTACGATATTGTATGGAAGTTAACATAAGACAATATGATTCAGATTTTTTTTAAAGATTGTTGAATGCTTTATACACGCACAATGGTCCCAGTTATGAGACTATAGAAATATGATATTTAAATAAATATTATATGTCTGGTATGAATGTTATGCAATGATAAATATGACAAACTTAACAGCATATATTATTTGCATGTTTAATTAAACGGTATCGAGAACGGGTGAACGGATTGAGATGAAAAGAAAGAATGTATACTCTTAAAGAATAACTCATTCTTAGTGTGATTTACTCAACGTTTCATTAGGAATACAAAGAAACTTTAGTGAATAAAAATATGCAGCTCAATATTTGCAGCTTAGTTCAAACAACTAACTATCATTTATGTTGACACTAAAAAGTGTGAGCATTATTTGATTAGAACCTAAGTAACTACAATTACTTTTACTAAACGCCAAGGAAAATGAATTAACACATTACTGTAATGGTGAATTTTTTATCTGTTACGTAATAGTCGGTTAGTGAAAAGTGTTAAGGTAAAGACAATTTTCAACTTGATAACTATTAAAACCGTTGTATACCGGATCAGTGATCTAGGGGTTAAGAGTCCACGTGCGTGACCGAAGATCCTGGGTTCAATTTCCAGGTGCGAAGTCGTGGATGAGTACTGTTGAGGAGTCCCATACCAGGACGGAACGGCCGTCCAGTGATTCCAGATTTTCAATGGTGGTCTAACATTGACCATTTCATGGTCCTAATTAAAATAATTAAAAGTTGTAATTACGGTTAATTAACAGTCATCAAAATAATTATTCAACGCCATTCTATTCCACTTCAGACTACTATTTTAGCAAACATAATTAACTATAAACACGACTGTACAACTTAAAACAAAATTTTCTTGGCTGAATTACCTCTATTATTCTTCAATGATACAGTGGGTCAGTTGACATTCTACAGAGCGCCAATATAACAAATATAACTTAAACTATTCCACTAAATCTGTCCAATCCTATTTGTAATAAGGTTGCACAGATTTAATATATACCAATATGTAGATATACAACTGATAATTACCATCATACCTAACATAAAACATAGTATTCAACAGTACAAAAGAGTATAAAAGTGGTGGAAAATAACTAAACAGCTGTTAAAATAACCCATAAAGCAAGTGATCAGGTTTTGTAACATATACATACACATGTTCCCAATCAACACATTGATGTATAAGAACAATAAATAAAATACAGAACAAAACATAACATAACACAATTGTTTACACTTACTCATTGAAGAATTACAAGAAATAACATTACATCCATTAGTAGAATTATTCATTATTAAACAATGTTTATCACGTCGTCTTTGACGCCATACACATAATACAACTAAACAGATCATAATTAAAAGCATTACACCAGTTAAAGCACCAAAAATTAAGAACATTAATCGATTTGATTCAGTAGAATTAAATGCAATCACATTTTTAGCATTGTATAATTCACGAGATTTTGATATGGAGCGTAGAGCTGATGAATCGTGTTTATCCAAATTTTCATTTGTAGATAATGAAATCTAAAAAGAATAGAGAAAAAGAAAAGAAAAGAAATTTTCTTATTGAAAAGTTTCCCATGTAAAAATAGAAAGAAATCTATGAACATATGCAGTAAGAAAGTTTCATTACAAAGTGGGAATATTGTTGTCAAGTGGTTGAATCAATCTTATGGAACCATATATTTAACGATTTATTAACGAATTAACATAAATCATCTAATAATTATTTTTTCTGTATGGTTTTAAGCCATCTGAAATGAGTTGCACTATTGTTACCATTTAAATACATAAATATTGGTACAAAGAGGCACCAAATATATATGCGCCACACTTCGTCATTCGATTTTTGTGTGAGCTGGAGTACTGTCCGCATGCCCAAACAGAAGCAGATGGTTTGCTTAGAGGGCCACTCCCTGAGCCTTTGACCTAGAGGTCTAATGCACAAGGCAGTTAAGCAACGTTATGTGATGCAGTCTCATGGTAGCCGATGAACAACAATAAGTTCAAACACCATTTGTTACCTCAGGACCCTGGAGCCCATGTGCACCATTGTTTTGGAATCAAGGTTTTCAAACTCACACTGTTGCTAAGTATTATTTTCTAATAGTTACGGACTAAGTATTATCTTTCGAAAATCCTATGAATCAGTGAGATGTGAGATGTTGAAAGAAAATATTTATACTTGTATGTTTCTGTATCGTAATTGCCATTAATATCCCTATAATAATATTTATCCATGATGTGACCATATCATGTTAGGTTTACTTGTTCAGAAACCAATCAAATATGATTAATGTAACCGACAGATAGATACATTTGCTAAAGTATACAAACATACGTAACTTTTCTTTCCCATAGGGAACAATATGATACATTATTTGCTAGAACATATAAATGGCATAATGAACGACAAAGCGATTCGGAAATGAATCGGTTAAAATAGAGTGAGCTTGATCAACCGTCAATCAATGTTGCAGAAATTAAAGTAACAAAAATAAGTATCAATTGGATAAATAATGTCTAGCGGTGGAATGTAACAAGCGCGTTTCGTCCTATTTTGAACTTGCCAACAAGACCCATCTCCATTTCAGTGCTGTTCGCATTAGGATTTAAACCCAATACAGGATATCTAGTACACTTTTGAAGTAACTTAATGTACACTAAAGTGCTTCGATCATATTATGTGAACACATTTATCATTAAGGTTTATGCAGAATTAATTTCCATTTAAATACTATGTATGTAATCCCAACATAGGCATTGAGAAAAAAAGCATGAACAAAAACCAATACTAGAAAACATACTGAACGTGGCTTTACAAACACTTCATGACTGAATTGAGTAATTTTTCGTCCATTCAATCCACCTGTGAAAATTGTCGATTGTGGGTCGAATCCAGGAGGTGTATACACGCCGTAAACCACAATTTGATACCCTTTACCTGATTCTAAAGCCTGTAGCTTGTGTTCCTAAAAACATGTGAATAAAGCAAATGGATGAATAACAACAATTAATATTGTAATTGCATCTTTTTACACTTGAGATTAAATGGTTTTGATTCTGTTTGCATTAATGACAAATTTGTTGTGTGTTAATATTGATGACAAAAAAATATCTTTTCGCCGACAGATCTCAATATGTTTCAATTTGAGAGCAAGTAAAATAGAAAAGGGTGAAGATAGTTTGCCCCCAATTTCGAACTGTTTCAACATAGCTGAACGATTAAAACCTCTTTAAAAGCAAATTGTCACCGCTTTCATGAGAAAGCTTTTTAAGAAGACAGACAAAGACTGAGCTTAACTTAAAAAGATCAGAAATTCTAATTTCACATCAGAATAGTTTATATAAAGTCGATGATCCGTAAAAGGTTAATGGCACATAAGCCTTCTTTGATTACTCACTATTATAAAATACGTCCATCGACATTGAGCTAGTGCGCCTATGTTATGATCTGTAGTTTAAGTGGAACACTCAGGAGCTAACAAACAAACAGCCTACGGTAGGACAAGCCAATTAAGACTTATTTGTTTTACAGAACTAATGAAATATATTTATGTCATAAATAAAAAAATAGGAATCTATGAAAACATCATGAAAATTAATCACTTGAGCAGAACTATAAACAATAACATGAACATCTCTTATTTAACAAAAAATATTTCCCACGAGATTCAAAAACAAAAGAACATTTCCATTTACTGTAGCATTAGATCCATCAACGAAAACTGCTTTAAATCCATTATAAGTGATTCTTCCATTGGCTGAACGTTCTTCTGGACGATAGAGTAGAAGGAAATGATCAATAGGGAATCCAACAGCAGATGTAGCTAATGTCCAACGAGTTAATATTCCACCATCCGACTAGTAAATAAAAAGTAATGTATTTCATAAGAACTATAAGTCAGAAATGACAAGAATCATAATGTTGGAAATTATGGCTCTAATGGAGATCATTTATAGTTTTAACAGTGAGAAAAAGATAATATTCTGTCATTCGAAAAGGTGTAGACATCAAACATAACTGCGAAGTTCAACATAATGGTGGTTAGTTTTACGAATTTATTTATCAACAACTACCAGACTGACTGACATGGTAAGAACATATATAACTCATGTCCAAACAGCATCTATCTTGATGGATAATGTCTGGTATAGCAGTATTTTGAAGGAAAGCTATGGATGGTTAGATCAAAATATTGTGTATATTCATGAAATCATTGGTTCTTTGTCTGATTCAGGCTAGTGGACACAAACTATCTAGTTGATATGGTGCAGTAGTTTGGACTGAAGCACATTTATGACATGTTCTATTTTTGATTATGATTAGCTGATTGATTGACGAAAAGAAGTTCATTCAACAAAGATTAGCTTTTTTTTCAACGGGAAGGATATGTTTTTAGTCAAACAAAAAACTAATACTTGAGTGAAGAAATTTAACTTGACAAAGTAAGGGATTAAATATACAAATATAAAACTTACCAATCGTTCAGTTTCTGTAATGACTGGAGCAACTTTAGAAATATGCTGGAAACTAACAGTTTCAGACCATGGACTCTTATCAACTAACCGATCATCATTATTTATTTGTTTAATAGCATTTATACGAAATTGATAACTTTTACCTGGTACCAATTCACCAGGATGACGATTAGTCAAGTAGAAATGTTTGTTTTTCAAACAACATGCTATGTCATGACTACAACATTCTTCTACCTAGAAAGTAAATGAAGTATAATGATATAACACTGTGTAAACTGAAAGTACACTTAAGATGTGGTTAATTATACAATACAAATGAAAAAAACAAGATCCCTAAAAATTCCAATAATTTATATTGTTCAAAATACATAAACAACTGACTTTGTGTATACGATTTGTGAAGTACTTTGAAGAGTTAACAAGAATATAGATGAATAAAGTCCCTAAATACATTTTCAGTGAGTGGACTTTATGAAGGTATCTTGTATCATGAACTGATATTGGTTAAGAAAAAAACTTTAAAAATCAGAGACTAGACAGTTTTTTCTTCTTGTTGTATAAGATACGCCACATACAAAAGCACATCCACTATCTTAGATGGGATTATGGTAACGACATAGATATTCCATGATGAATAATACGTCCTTAGATCACGGAGACAATAATTCTTCCCGAGACATTAGGTCATAATGAAAATTACCAGGGAAATTTGCATCTTTGTATGATTCTAATATTGTAGTTATTCTACACTCACTTTAATAACAGAAAGAGAAAAGTGGTACATATATTGTGAACAAATACTAATTCAAGTGTTACTAGGAAAAAATTGATATTATTTTTAAGAGCGAAAGAAAGAATTGTGTGAAATAAATGCTCCCGGAAGAGCCAGATGATTGCCAATCAACAGTAGCATGATTACCACATTTGTCAGGTACAGATTCGTGTACTTAGTGTGGAGTCACATTCTAAGCGTGACTGCTAGTGATAGAATCCAGCTGCTTATACTGAAATGGGTGGAGAAAGGATGGCAGTCATAACCCCATAGCATACAGAGGATATATCAATTAACCTCGTGAAAATTACATTTTCACACCACGTACATTACTAACATCCTATAAGTATCCATATAGACACTTACCCTCTCCTATCCACAGAATCATAACTACAATGGATAACAACATATGTATATAAATAAATAAATAATACAGATAGACTACTACTAACTGTTTCATCAATTGTTGACCGATCAAATAGGCCATCTGACTCTGGAATATGTGATCTGAGAACAATACGATAAAAATCACAGTTTATTGAATTCCAACTAATTAGTACAGCTAAATTGTCACCAACAGTTGTCGCATTCGGTTTATATAAATGTTCATCTAAGAAAATGAACAGGATAGAGAGAGAGGGAGGAATTAATACAAAACACAATCAATAAAAATAATTAAAGAATGAAAGTGAAAAAGTGATACGCGTTTAATAAATGAACGCTTAACACTGACTTCTAACTATCTAATTCCTAACGAATCTTCTAGACTTCATTCCTTGAACAAGCGATAAAAAGTCAAAAATATAAAAAGGAAGATCAGTTTAGATAAATAAAACAAGGATATCTATAGGTCAATGTATGACTTTGATATTCGGAAAGCTTTGCAAACAAACTAAATTTAGTTCCAAAAATTGTCAATTATCTAATAAACATATGATAAACAAACCATTGTTTATCTAGAACTATTTGAGGGATTTCTTATGATCGCTGATTGAACAAAATGTTTTCAGCCTACTCTCAGTTCCTGATGACTTTTTCAATCAGTTTTCAAGGGCTACCAACAAAAAGATTAAAAAAAATAAATAACAATAGGTTGAAGTGAACACACACCGGTCAAGTTGTAATTATATATATATATATATATATATATATATATATATATATATATATATATATATTTGTTAACTAGGAAGAATTATATTTGACCTTATGAAAACTATTCAGATGAGATCGCAAAACTGAAATGACCAATGACATAAGGACGAACGATTTACTCGCCAACTACTCTTTCCATCCTAATAGGTGCATCAGTCAGTCAGCTACAACGTAGTTACATTGAATGAACTAATCCGTTGAAACATTTTCCAAATAAGTCAAACAAAATTTCAACTGTGAACCAAATTCAATATGTTAGGATTAACAGTATACCACTGATTAATTAGTCGCAAGCAATCGAAGAAAATATCTGAGCTATTGATCATAATGATCAATAATTTAGTTCTTGAATCTACCTGGCATACATCAGATACGTATGTCAGAGATATGTCGAGAATTAGTCAATATTATTTAGTGATAAATAAACCGAATTTTTATTAAGCTATAATGTCTTTCAACAACATAATTCAAAAAAAACTAATTGTTTATCTACTCCATATGATATTATTTCATGCATAAATAGAAATCTAAGCTATAATTAGCTTATCAGCTCATTTATGGCTGGGACAGCTGATTGTTCTATAAATATGTAGTAAATATAAATCACTGCTCAGCTGAAATATAATCACGTGAATTAGTGATAATACAGACGAAAATGAGCCCACTTACATGAACTTCTTGGAAATGATAAATTTAACAAAGGCAGTGAACCGATATGTTCAGAAGATGAAGACCATTCATTAACTCTGTGTTCTTGACTACGACGTGTACGATAAAAAGGATTAGTCACTTGACCATTATGCAACAAACTATCCATCTTGTTAGAGCTTCTGTGATGAAGATCAGTGAATTTATTAGTGGAATAGTTAAATTGTAAACCGTTATTCACTAAAAGATTAGAAGGATAAGAAAAAAAATGTTGGAACTAATTAAAAAGATTATTGCAAAAACATACTAATCACTTGTATCGAAGTTACAATAATTCTTCTCACTATATACAATTACAAACAAAAAGATATAAATAGAAAATAACTAAAACCAAAATCAGATTCATCATTTAGTTATAGGTCTGTTTTTTCATCTCGTCGGACTTTCCCGGTAAAATCGGGATGTATGTGAAGCACAATAAAAAATCAAAGACAAATTATCCTTCCATTAATCTATCGCTTCATGTTTTATTTAAACAAAAGATCAGGTCTAAGGATGTGCTAACCTGTAAAAAAACAGACATTTCTAAATGGATTCAATTTAGAATCATAACAAAATTTAAATATATTGAAGTGTAACAGTCAACCAATAACCTGGTTTTTGCATGTATAAATGAAATGAATGAAACTATCTGACAGATATGTAAATTATTTAAAATACAATAGTAAATAATAAATAAAAAAAGAGAAATAACTTACATGAATACGATGAAATAACAGATTCTATAAGTCTGAAATAACGTTCATATATTAACTGTTCACCAAAATATATATTACAACTGTATAAACCAAAATCAGTTGATCTAGTCACATTGATATCTATTATATACAGTGTAGAACATTGTAATTTATGATTTGAAGCATTATTATTTTGGTTATTGGTATCATTAATATTGCTATTCATTGATAATAATGAATTTGAGCTGTCAACTTTCAACCATTTTACATGAATCAAATTTAAAAGACATGAAATATTTAAACGTTCAGATAGACTATTACTATTTCCAATAGGTAATAAATTGTGCAACGTTTTTGTAATATCATCAACAATTTGGTGATATGGATCTAAATTATACTGTGATAAACATGTCAATTGTTTTTTATTACCGATTTCCACCTTAAATAAATCAATTTTATGATGACGTAAAGGAAATGTAACTTTTGATAAAGCAGAATTGAATTCATCTAAAAGGAATGAAAACAAAGAAAATAATATTTGGATGGATATCAAGCTATAGAAGTGTATGCATTGGCAACAAGAGAAATCCGGTTACATATCTAGCAAGCAGAGCAAAAAATATCTACTTAGATGATACTATAAAGGAGTTGAAGTTTTTTAATAACATACTGACGGAGAACGGCTATCCAATTTCTTTTAAAGAAGTTTATGTATGCGGAAAATAATAATTTGGAGATATTGACCACTCGTAATAAACCTTTATTCCTAAGACGAAAATTTAACGGGTGTGGGGCTAGAGATGATAAAATAGCGGCGGTATTCAATAGGACACTATACACAGTTAATCTTTTGTTGGTATTGTATGGTAAACCAGTGATATCAACTCAACCAAAGAATAAGTTACTTGAGTTGATCCCTTAGATGTCCATCTACAAAATCGTCTGCTTGTGCTGAGACAATCATACTGGCCGTACTATCAGGTAACGAGTAAACATCTTTCAGCTTGGTTTGGTTAAGACCAAACAAAGACAATATACAACATTAATTTGTCACATTTGGTTGACAATTGTCATATGGTAAATAATACTGAATTATTTCGAGTGATCGATCGCACATCGTCATTTTTCCATGGGGTGCGATTACGTATTCGCTTATACGAGTTATTCTAATTTTTACAGTGGGAATCTTTAGTAGTTTAAAGTCAATAATTTACGGTTTGCTCGAATCATAGTTACTCTTATTCTGTTGTGTATAACTATTAATTGCCTAGAGATAACAGTGACCGACAAAACAACTACAAAATTAGCCTCTCGCAATTCTAGTGCACTAAAATTCTGATCCTTACAAAAAAACATCAAAGTGAAAAAAGGAAAACATCAGGTAACAGATAAAGTAGCCCAACTAATGTGTTCAACAAAGATCTAACCAAAGTCTAAATTCAATGTTAAGATTAACTCAATATGGAATGGATTATTATTTGAAAGTTAACTACACTTTTTCCCTTTCAAAACGCTCTTCGAAAGTACAATAAAAAATATTTTAGCCAATAATAATTTTAAATAACTCTAAATAAATATTTGCCCAGATCCCAAACAATAAGTAACCGATAAGCACTCAATCAGTGTAATCATTGTGAAACATTGGTTATGATGATATAAAATAGTGGACATATTTTTGAATTAGATATATCATCCTGACGATATTCAAATGACACTGAATGATGAAAGAAAAATAATCAGCTTATGATAAAACACAATAGGATAAAGGATAGATTAAATAAACTGGTATTTATTCATTCCTCATAATTTTCTGGATGAAACTGTATATCATTCAACCAAATCGAATCTAGATACAATACAACTAAAAACATAAAACATTGATATAATTCAATTGTAATTTTTCAAAGTATTCTTCAAATAAAACAAAAACAAAACATACATTCTAAATAAACCTAAGTTATTTCGTTTGGATTCTTATTTCAAATATATTGGCTTAGTACAAATTCTTTATTTTTCTTCCCTTTCTAAAAACTGCTAATTTCATTTGGATGACGCATTTCCCTCCTTTTTTTTTACTTACTGTCTTTACCATATTTATACATAAAAATAATTTTTGCATACACAGTTTTAGAAAAAAATTTAATTAAAACTTTATATGGTGTACAGATAATAATACTACTACTACTAATAATAATAATATTAGTAGTAATAATAATAATAATAATAATAATAATAATGGCGTAATTTAGATGACTTTAAAATGGAATTTAAAATAAGCCTGAAATGAAAATAAAAGATGAAATTTATTATATAGAAACAAAATATATTACATTGTAAAACAGTCATTAGAAAAAAAAAACTTTAAAAATTTCACCTCTTGTAAATAATGATTGTTCACGTAAACTAACTGTACTTATTCCATCTATCCATATATTATTGACATCATTTTCAAGAATACACTGATATATACCGACATTTGATAATTGCATTGAATTAATTAACAACGATGTATGGTCTAAAAAAAAAAGATACAGAAAAAGGAAACAAGAGAGATGAGCGTAGAGAAAAGAACATGATCAAATTTATTTACACAACCGGAAGAACTAGAACAGAAATCTAAAGCGAAAAAAAAAGATATAGAAAGAGAGACAGGGGGAAAGAAACAAAAAACACAAAGATGAAATAGTGACTATCTGCGATTTATCTGATTGGACAATCATGGCTGGCGCCGATATCCATATAATAATTGAATAAAGTAATATCCGCAGAGCACATATATGATATATGATAAAACTCATTAAAATATACAAGAAAATTCAATTTAATCCGACTAAACATAAGGGTTTAAGAGAGATATCAGTATGAGAGGAAAAACGGATGATTTTTATGATTAACCTGTTTTAAGACATGACGTCAGAAATAAATTTAGTTTTAGTCTGAGTGAAAAAAAACAATGTTAGTGCAAAATAACAATAAAATGACATCGTTCTAATTGTGTTTCTTAATTTATCTCATTTAACTAGTATTACCTAGTGTATGAATGGAACTATTTATGTGACTAGAATACTTTATTGTATATTGAACAAAAAGGTGATAATTTGTATTAATCGAAAATACAATACAATTATGTTTATATAAGCATAAAAAATGACTGAATTAAAAGATAAGTTGAGATCATTATGATAATAATCACTTTAGACATTTGTGATAAGTTTCTTTTTTGGGATGAGATACTCATTTGATTTTAGTTTAATAGAAGTGTAGTATGATTGATCTGACAGACAGTGAATCAATCATAAATACTACATAGCCTAGTTTAAATATGCAAAAGTTTAAGCTTCATTAAATTACCAAGGGTGATATAACAAAAGATAAATAGTAGTATCAGTGATAGTGAGAAAGATTGAATATTGGAGACTATGATTCGGAAAGAAAGGTTGAATATGAAGAAAATGTACGGAGTAATATTGAGAATAAACAGTTGAAGGAAGACAAATTGTAAATACTTTTATATTACTGAGTGTTTCTTTTCTTCTAAACGCAGTGTTTCTTTAGGACTATTCCAGATCACCTCCTAGACCAACCATGGGAATGAAGCACTTGAGTGCGTTGACCACTTTACGTATTTTGGAAGTCTCTACAACCCTATTCAGTTGGTGTCCCATGAAAGTTCAGCAATTCAAAAAGGTTGTTTGGCTTCTGTAAACTTACATTACGTCTGGTGTAGGCAAAATGTCTATCTGCTAACCAAAAGGTGAATATATCATGCAGAGTTAGCCTCTTTATTATTCTACGGCTGTGAAACACATTCTAAGGAGGTAGAAGACATATCTAAGTTGTGAATCTTTATTAACTGAGATGGATGGAATGTGTATTTTCTAACCACCGCCTTGGCATCTTGACATACGATGTCAACTGGTATAATAGTAATGTTGAGGGAGTTTTGAGGAAGGTAGACCAAAGTATAAAATTACTTCATAAAGTCACTGACTGTTGGTTTGAGCCATCTTGGTAGATGCAGGTACTCACGATAACCAAGATCAGTGGTTTTAGACCCTGCATGGCTAGCTCAAAATTATTTATAATGAAGTAGATGTATCCATTCTGTACATAACGCTACGCTTTGAATTCCATTATTTCTTCACACATACCTGTACATTCTGTGTTTTCAAACCATATTCTCAATGTTTATTTTCTCTCTTTAATATCGCTACTACATTATTTCGATCAATGTTGCAGTTTATCCCGCTATATCTATCCCGTAGTGCTAATGTGATATGGAAACTTAAGCTAACGCACATTCATAACAAGCTTTACATTTACTATGAATGACTGATAAGATCTTCCTCTGAAATGTTTTTATTCATTTGACCACATTTAACTTGAAAACGAGGATCACTAGCATTATTCACCATAACATTCAATTAATTCATTCTTTTACTTTTATTTAATGCAATTAACTGAAATATTTTTATTGCAGTATGATAGATTCTGCTACGTATATTGAATAGTTACTTATCTTAACCTCAGCTTTTTTGAAAATATCTTTACGCTAGTATAATTCAAACTAATCGATAATAGGTGATTCATGGTAATAACAAGGTTGATAATGCAAACTACAGTGGTTGTACCCACGAAGAAGCGCTTATAAAACCCCCAAATCTAGAGAGAGAGAGAGAAAGAGAATAGTCTGAATGTAGCCGACATAAAAGAGTTGGGTTATCATTATTTCAGTATAATGTAAAATGGATAATCCGAACACTGGAAGTATACAACCAAATAAACACCTTCATATTACATTTTTTAACATTGGAAAACCCATATCAAAAGAAACCATAGAGCGAAACGAAAAAAGACATAACCACATGTAGTGTAGTGGTGTTAGGGTATGTGTAACAGAGTAATAAAAGAAGGAAAACCACCCTTACCGAGATAGTTGAACAAGCAAACTTAGAATATACTTGTAAGGAGAAAAAACAGACAACATCCAAAACTAATAGATATTTTAACTGTAGCAAGAATGTAAACTCTATACTTATGACCAAATATATTATTATTGTACTAGTAGTGATTGTTAATAGTTTTTTATTCGGTAATTGATATTTAGTCAAATGTACATATATCATGTACATCGTACAAGTAAATTCAAAGTTATTCATTCAATCATTCTAATCTGCCCTACTTTCATTCTCCACCACTCTCTCTCTCCCTCCTTAACTTAATTATCATGTTCATTGTCAAAAATCGGTTAAAATAACATGAAATAGTAAAACATGAGATTATAAATTGTTTTTTTTAGGAATAAAAAGGAAAAATATTAAAACAAGCAAGAGAACAAGGGAGAGAGAGAACTGAAGAAACAAAAGGGTGATGACGAAACGATGACTATGAATACAATAATACAAAAATAATACAACAGGATATTGATATTATAGAGTTTTCAACGTTTTTATCCTCAACTTTTTAAAAAAGTTAACTTAGTGGAAAAGAAAAGGGATGGGTAGAAAGGGATGTACAACATAATCTAAGGAACTAGGAAAGGGAAAGCCAAAAGTAAACATGTAAACAAAACATATATACTAACACCATATAGACATGTAAGGTGGCTTATGAATCCTATAGACAACATAAAAGTAGACTGTGCAAAAGAAGATAATTATCAACTGATTGGATTTAATTTAGATCTGGAACTTTACTCTCAATGACCAGCATCAAAACTAATGAAATGCCAAGGTTTCGATCGACTATTTTACAGGTGATACGTTTTTTCAATAACTCCGCCTGTGATCTCTATAGAGCTACTGCCGGTCCCAAGCCCGGATAAAGGATGAGGGTTAGGCATGGGGTTAGCGAAAACTAACTCACTAAAAAAACGCTAACGTTTTGTCAATAACAATATGTTAGATGATACATGATAACCACATAAAAATAATCTTGAATCTTCTGAAAAATTTTCAACATAATCAATTGCTGACTAACAGTTCTATGGGCGTATACAACCAATGTCAAGAAAATATCTGTAATGTGGAAATCAATACTATTCTTTAATTTAACATTAACCAAACACTCATAAAATATTCCGTTCATATAATTAATTGAATGTTAAGAAATAAGATAACAGACAAGATTTATTTAATAACTTTTTTTCAAAAACCATATATATATATATATATATATATATATATATATATATATATATATACTTACATGGATTTATAGACACTGCAAATTGAACAGGAATTCCGTTGAAATACCAAGTCGGTGTTATATCAATTATAGAACTTATACATGATAAATTAACATAATCTCCTATATTCGCTTTAATATTCTGCGGATAAACGATTAATTGAGGTGAAGCTGGAATAACAAGTTTAGAAGAAAAAAAAGAAAGAAACAATAATACATGTATTTGTAGATATCACATTAAACACAAAATTGTATTAGGAAAATGAGAAAGCCAACAAATTTTAACAGAACGATATAATCAAGGGGGAAAATGTATAATATTAGAGTATGTATCAAGGAATAATTTTTGATGAAACGAAATGGAATTTGAAAATAATAATAATAACTTATAGGTAACATTTATGATAAAATACATATGTTTAGTATAATTTAGTAGTAAATTGAGCTAATAGATTATTTTTTTCATTATGTTTCACTATATGCAACACCGTATTCGTGACTTAGAAACAACTGAACAAACATTAAATGAATCACTTGGTGTTATTTCATGTTTATGAAATAATACTTTAAACTGCGAGAGGGAAATATAAGTTAAAACTACTCGATCGTGTCCTTTATCAATACCAAATATGAGACGTTACATAATTAAAGTGGATCAGTTGATGAGATGATAAACAATCATTAGATTAGCTGATTGTTTTATTTAAATCCAATGACGGTTTACCACAAAATGATATCTCGAGTGATACAAGAATGATTTGAAAAAAAAATCCGAGAATGATCAAACTACAAATTGACACTAAATTATGAAGTCGGTGCTTCGAGGTACGTACAAAAGTGCATGATTCCTAGCCAAATCATTAGGTACTATCATAATCGACAAAAGAAAATTACATTTCGTTACTGGACATTAATCATAATATTTCCTGGAATCATCTACGGTTTGTTTTTATGATTTTAATATTGAACAATTTATTATTCTAACTCGTAAGGAATTGAGTTGTTGTTCCTGATTGAATTTTGATTGGTCTTGGTTAGCATATGAGCATCATGGGTGAATTGGCTCGAGAAAGTCATTTTATCACAAGTTTTATAGATGGATTGTAGCTAACAGTGAAATTGAGCAAAACAGTCAGATAACTCAAATTTTTACAAATTAAATTAAATGCATAACCGTAGCACAATTAGGTAGCCTAAACTTAATTATTTCACTATATTTTGATGCTTGTTTATTCAAATCAAAATAAACTTAACATAAACAAGAAAAGATGGAATGTGGCCAGCATTGGAATCTAAGGCGTGTGTTTTGTTATGTGTGGAACTCACCAGCCGAAGGTACCTGTACGTCAGAGTTCATCTTCACACCGATAATTGAAGCCAATACCTTACGTTCACACACCCAACGCATTATCTGCTTAGCCACTAAATGCAGATAGTTACTCACTTTAGAAATAGGCATAAATGTTAATTCCATTTATAAGAGTTTTTGAATTATCCAAGGAAAAAAAACTGGACTAATCAGTTTTCTGAGGATTTACATTTACTATGAGAAAATTTCATTTCATTGCTTAGCTGGCAGCTTGATTACACATTTTACATGCATTGATTTCAGGTTTGTGAAAACAAATGTTAGGCATATTTATGTATATTTCTTAAAATGCTTAACTTACGAAGAACCTTTAGATAGGCATAAGAAGTAATATTGTTAGCTGTACAAAAGTACAATCCTTCATCATTCTTCGCCAAATTATATATATCTAAAACGCCTAGAAGAAAGAAAAAACATGCGGTAAATCAATTACTCATCGATTAGGCAGTAGAATCTATTTTTTAAAAATATACACCAAATTTTTCTCAACATTTGGACTTACCAAATAAAGAGTCAAACTTTTGATTTCCATTAGATACACCGATAACTCGACTCACATTAGCCACATATGGTTGTGGAGAACTGAATACACAAGGTAATGTTATATTCTGACTTTCATAAGCAGTTATTTTTATTGGTTTCCCAATGTCATTGACCGTATCAATATCCAATAGACTACCATCCAAATTCATGTATAAAACATTTTTTAATGAAGGATTGGAAGAGACTAAAATAAAATTAGATAAAATAGCTTATGTGAATTTTGAGATTAAATAAATAATTACACATGAACGAATTAACTTATTCAACGTAGAACCATCCGGAAAAAACATGCACAAAAACTGTGAACAGTCACAGAAATTATGTTAACACAGATGCAAGAAATAAGCAATTCCACTATTTATTAGCATACATTAACAAGTTAGTCATGATTAACTTAGAGTTCGACATACACGTACACCGGCCCAAATTCCCATACCACATGAGACAAGAAGAAAACTGATTGAAATATACAAAATCGCTGTAATTTTCCATAATACCTATTTAGGCAACCCAAAGACGGTATTTGTATATATAATTTCCCTCTACTCAAAATTTACTGCACGCACTACCTTAACCATTAAATATAACCTGATGTCTGTGATTTCAACCGGTTACTTTTTACTGTTTCAAACCGTATTATCTAGTTTCATAAATTACAACTGTGTTGACATTTGATTAATTTATGAAAATCTTTAAAACATTATTTCTTACACTAACTAAATTATTATATGATTTTGCAGTTTGTTGAATTGGATCTTTGATACTTTATATAATTAACATCCAAGCAATTATTCATCTTCATTAAATATCACTTTCTATGAATAAATAAAATCTTTATAAATGCTAATACCTAATTAACACAGAAAAATAATAGATTAGTATTATAAAATACATGTAGGTGAAAAATGCCATGATAATGTACTCGTCTAAGACGAGAATTATAAGTTTATTAATGTGTTGATTATTTTCTAAAAAAAAAAGAACAACTAATATATCAGGACTGAACTATATCGAAAAAAAAATTGACTGAAATTGAATATATAGACAAGTATATCGTGAATTCCTAATTCAACAGTTAACTATTTGTAAAATCCTTTACTGGAGAAAGGTTTACAGATAAAAGAAAGTTAATACTGAAATGATCCTAACAAGAGTAAAACTTTAACATATATAATACTTTAATTAGGTATAGAGAGTGCTTGATTGAGGCCTATGAAATAACCGTAATCTATATTCACTTGGTATTGTTTTACTTGAATCTCCCCATTGATGTTTTAAGACTGAAATTGATCAGTCTCTTATTGGCATATGTGCATACTGTGCGTATGCCTCGATATTGCCTTAATTTACAAGCATTATAAGCAAAGATGGATATTTGCTAGCAGTGGAATCCAGGATGCGCGTTTCGTCCTGTTTGGGTAATAGCTTGCAGTGGAATCGCGTTTCGTCCTATTTCGGACTCGTCAGCTGGGTGTACCTGCATCTCATAGTTGATGTTCACTCTGGGACTCGAACCCAGTACCGTCCGCTTCAAACGCCATCGCGTTATGCACTTAGCTACTTAGTCCTGATATCCACTTACTAAGTGGAAAGGTACTGGGTCCGAGTCCCAGTGTGAGCATCAACTCTGAGATGCAGGTACGTCCAGCTGACAAGTCCCAAAAAGGACGAAACGCGCGTCCTGGATTCCACTGCTAGCGACTATCTATCTTTGCTCGTAATCTATATTGTTGAAGATTTGGAATAAAATGGTTCAAAATCGTTGTAAGATTAACTTATATACTGTTTCCTTCTAAATCTTGGGATTTAAAATTATTTTATACATTTTATTCAGAATTTTTAAACTATATGGTGATATGAATTCACTTGATATCGTTTAGTTGAATCTTCCCATTGATGTTTAGGACTGCAATTGATAAGTCTCTATTAGCATATGTGCATACTGTTTTAAATAAGACGAAACGAGTGTCCTGAATTCCACTGCTAGCCACTATCTATCTTTGTTTATAATGCTTGTGAATTAAGGCAATATCAAAGCAATAAACACAATATGCACACACGCCAATAAGAGAATGATCAATTGCAGTCCTAAACATCAATTGGAAGATTCAAGTAAACAATACCAAGTGAATTTAAACTTTACCCTATTGAACAAGCAAGTGGCTATCGGGACTTAGTAGCTAAGTGCATAACGCGATGGCGTTTGAAGCGAACGGTACTGGGTTCGATTCCCAGAGTAAGCATCAACTCTGAGGTGCAGGTACACCCAGCTGACGAGTCCGAAATAGGACGAAACGCGAGTCCACTGCAAGCTATTACCCAACTTTGCTTATATGGTTTGAAAAGTATGAATAAAACTCCACAAATGTCCTAGTATGGTCAAGCGTGCGGATAGTCCCATCTCCCCTTTGAAATGCTCTTATATACCCACTGCCAGAGTATAGAAGATTGGCCTAGGGGAGCTGAAAAATCCTGATTCTAAACTAATGGTGCACACTGGCCCCAGGATCCTAAGGGAACAAATGGCATATGAAATAATTCTTAGCCACTGGTTACCATGAGTGTGTTTCTCCTAACGATGCTCTACAGCTTTGGAGATTACTTATAGATCAAAGGCCAAAGGAGTGGCTCCCTTTGTATTAAATAAAGGTATAAATTAATATACTAGATAAAGAAGTATTTCAATTGATTTGGACAAAGCAAACAATTTTTGAGGACAAATTGATGACAATCCCTACATAAATAAACGAATATACAGTAAGATTGTTTTTATACAATATAAGTCTGTGTAATATGATTTATAAAAACGTAGTCAGCATAAAAATAAGGAAACAAATTAGAACAGCTGATAAAATTATAAATTTAACTCTACCGAAACGAATAGGATAAATGTTTTAAAGCTATTACTGAGAAATAATCCGAGCTATTTTAAAAACTTAAGATTGAAATGTGCAGGAATTTTGAGCATTGGAAGAAATTATCAATTATCAGAAGGGGTTTGTGCAGATTTTAGAAATTTCACAGATTGAAATCATGAGTCAATTGAAGCTAGACCACCATGAAAAACTTGGAGGCACTGGACGGCCGTTTCATCCTAGTATGGGACTCCTCAGCAGTGCGCATCCACGATCCCGCACCCCGCGAGATTTGAACCCAGGACCTATCAGTCTCTCGCGCGAGCGCTTAGCTAACTAGACCACTGGGCCGGCATTCAATGGTGTTAATGTCTAACTTCGACCAATCCACGAAGTTGCTCTACCGTATACCATTGTCTTCAGTGAGCTGATATCTCACAACAGATCTGGTTGAACTCCCCTGGTAACGGCTTCTCACTAGAACACCACGAGTATCTCTTGAAGTCAGTCACTAGTCAATTGTATAAATTAATAACTTAATCCCAATGTTAAAAATTAATTATTTTGTCATAAATAATAAACAATATAATATAATTGTAAAACTTTTTGTAATTTTGCTTAGTGTAATAAAAGAATAATAACGAAGACAAGTGATCAAAACCTTGAAAGAACTAACAATATTCAACGATGTATTCTTTAAAAAACAAAGTTTAATTATAAAAATATTAATTTAGCAAATGTAATACCAAAAAAAAAATCTTCAAAACTACAAACAAACAGTTGTTAACATGAAACGTAATTTTAATAGAGTAGGTATTTCAAAACTAAAACCAGTAGTAACTTAAATTTCCTCAACAGTCATTTAATTTTGATGTAGATAATTCAAAAGCATCGGTCAATTAACCGCATAATAATTATTCCCTAAAGTGAATTACTATTTCATTGAACGATCATCTTCTGTTCTTTTTCTTACTTTCTTTGTACATAATGAGTTAGTTCTAATAGAATTTATATTGTGATATCATAGTCAAATTATAATATTTACCTAAAACAGTATGTATTACTTTAAAACTATCTTTTTTTCTTTTCCTAACTAAACAACTACTTTTGACCACCCAACTGTGTATATAGTCAATATAAGTGATTTAAAACATACAACAAGGAAAAAAAAGTATAGAAATGAAACGAAAGAGAGGAAAACATGAAAAAGTTTCCGCACAAAACAAAATAGGCAAACAAAAAAAGAACAATATAGTTATAATAGTAATAATAATAATCTTTTTAACTTAAGAAAATAGAGATAACTATTTATTTTGTCCAATAAAAAGTTAAGCAAATACTTAGATTCTAGAATTGTTATAACGATCTATAAAATATGATAAATTAAAAACACATTTTCTAACAATTTCGAAATTATTATTATTATTATTATTGTGGGTGTTACTGATGGCGACGGGTTAACAATTAACAAGCTCCGAAAATTCGTTTCTCCTTCACACAAAGATATGCATCTTAGATAAAAACACAATTGTTTTTTCTTATACTAGAGAAAAAAAATACAAAACACATAGACTCGTAGAATTTTGTAATTTATTTCAATATATATTCATGAAAAACTATAGTAAAACAAGTCTGTATGAACGTGAACTACATAATCATTTTCATAGTATTTCTCTTTAAAATAATCAAAATGTGAATCGAATATAAGAAACAAGTAGAAGCGGAGAAATGAGGAAAGACAAAAAAACAAACAAGAACATATAGTTAATTTCCAATAAGAATGATTGTAACACAATATGTACATTCATTTATTACGTGGATTCTATTCAGCCGCTAATATCCTGCAAACAATTGTATCAGTCATTAAAAATATAACATCTATGCATACCTACGTTAGAGAACTCTTGAGTACATTTTAAGATACTATGGAAATGTAGATTAGTAACATACAAAATAATTAAGGAAAAATTAAAAAGAATCTTTTAAATACATGAATATTCTAGATGAGAAGACGCAGTGGAGAGCACGGAAATTGGAATACAGAAATGGGAGATTAGTATCAATTTATGTTATATGTATCTACTAATTTACATCTACATGCCAAAGCACATGGATTAGTAGAATAATAAAATTTAGTGTCCGCATTTTTGATTAAATTTTATAAAATTTAAGACTAAAATAGGCAGAGCTCTGTTCGTCTTTACCGAGTGTCTGAATGGGAACTTTGTTGAATACGTTGTTATCAAAAGATGCACCCAATCATTGATATTGCTTTGCTCTGGTGTCCTTAGTATGAAAAGTGGATTACGTAACACTTTTCACATGACCT